GGAGCGAGCCGGGCACGGGCAGCTGGCGCAACTGGGAGGCATGCTGGTGCTCACGGGGGGCAACCGCTCCGGGGCTGCCTCCGGAGAGGCCGGCGAGGGCGCTGGGGTCTCGGACGCACCCCCGACTCGGGCGCCCACGCCGGACTTCTGTCGGGGTTACTTCGATGTCATGGGCCAGTGGGACCCGCCGTTCAACTGCAGCTCGGGCGACTTCATCTTCTGCTGCGGGACTTGTGGCTTCCGGTTCTGCTGCACGTTTAAGAAGCGGCGACTGAACCAAAGCACCTGCACCAACTACGACACGCCGCTGTGGCTCAACACTGGCAAGCCGCCGGCGCGCAAGGACGACCCCCTGCACGACCCCACCAAGGACAAGACCAACCTGATCGTCTACATCATCTGCGGGGTGGTGGCTGTCATGGTGCTCGTGGGCATCTTCACCAAGCTGGGGCTGGAGAAAGCGCACCGTCCCCAAAGGGAGCACATGTCCAGGTGGGCTGCCTCCCTTTCGCCCTCCCCTCCAGGCTTCACTTTCCATTTTGTCCCTTCCCCAGCTCCTCCAGGCAATGGCACCCCCCACACACACCCAGCCTCTCTGCTAGGGGATGTCACCGGAAGCCAACTTTGGCTTAGAGCACGGAGAAGGGGTGCTGGGTTCAGCGCAGGTGGGGGTGAGCGCGTGCATGGAGGGGGTCTCTCTATCACTCGCCCTTTCGCTGCCACCTCCTGCCAATGATGCAGGTGAACTTGAGGCGTACGGCGTGGGAGCCCTTATCCCCGAAGTCTTGGGTTTTTGTGGAGGGGATCTGTGGCATCCCTCCGATTCCAGATGCTAACCTCTAGGTAAACAGAGGCAGACGAGCCCGAAAGGGAAGGGGGGCGTGTGTGAGCCCGCGTGCGTGTGTGTGAGAAGGAGGGAGGGAAGGAGTGAGTGCAGCCTGCAACTCGTACGACTAGCGAAAATGAGGCGAAGGAGGGGGAGAGTGAGCGGAGGGTGAGAACAAAAGCCTTGCTGAAGCGGCCGGCTTGCTTTCCCAGATCTTCTAGGTCTCTGAAATTGGGACCACATCTCCCCCTACCTCTTTATCCCTTTAGTCCCTTTCTCCCGCCGCCACCCCCCGCCCCACTCCCAGGCAGCGGCCATCACTGCGCGTCTGTGCCCCTTGCTCTGGCTGGCGCGGACACCAGGGGCCCGAGCCCCCTCCACGCGCGCCTTCACCAGCCAAGCACCCTGATTCGTCAACTTTCCCGTTTGCCTTATTCATTATGCAAGTCCCAGCACTGGCAAGTCGCAGCAGATGGGAGAAGGCATTTGGGGATTAATGGAGCTATTTGCCTTTTGCTTTTTTTTAAGTGTTTAAATTGATTCTCACAACTCAGTAACTTTGGAGGCGGAGGATGCAGCTCTGAGCACGCAGCCCCAGGCCGAGGATGAGGCAAGGGGTTAGTGTGAGGTCCGGGCTGGTAAACAGGAGCTAGGAGGGATAGGCGAACAGCTGGATGACTGGGGCATAAGCCTTAAAACTATCCTTTTCCAAGTCGGGGCAATGAAGTCTCTGTGCCCACCCCTCAGCCCCCACCTCCTCCGGGGGCCCGTGTGTGCGCGTGTGTGCACGCGCTCCATGTGCATGCCTAAAAAATCTGAACAAAGAGACCCACCAAAAATAGGCGAAGGAACATCATCACCTCACTAGTAATTATTTTCTATTTATACGCAGAGTATCCGATGAATATTTTCCCCCAGAGGGGAGGGATTTTGGGGGGGGAGAGATGAGAAGTTCTGGTGGGTTCGGGTCTGCTGGGAGGTGTGGGTGGTCTCTGAAGCAAGCTCCAGGGATTGGAGAACCCTGACCCACTAAGGGAGTAATGCGCTGGCCCCGCCCACCTCCTGCAACTCCAAGGTGCCCTGGGTCATTTTAATTCCCCACAGTCAAGCCAGTCCCTATCGATTCTCGTGGTCTGTGTTAAGGTGAGGGGGGCAGGCAGACGCAGGACTGCGGCAGCGGGTGTCCGCCTTGTAGGGAAGGATTACACAGACACAGGTAGGCTGCTTTGTGGAATTGGGCTAACTCCTTAAATCCCCACCAAGCTCTTTCCTGGCAAATGATTTCCTTCAAGAAGCCATCCTTGGGAGCTAGAGGGGCTGGAGGTGGGAAGGTGGGGAGAGAAGCTAACCTTTGGGACCTGTGGGAGAAACTGGTGCTCACTTCAAGCCCCGTTTAGTGTCCTGATGGAAGAGCTCTCTACCAATACCTGGGGTCCAGCAGGGATCCAAATTTCTGTCATTGTCTCCTGGCAGCTCTGTAAGAGGACATGACTCCAGTTAAGCTGGTTGCAGGCACATTCTTCCACAGGTACCCAGAAAGTTCCAATTGGAGGCAGTGTCTATGGGTAGCAGCATCTCTACAGAGGCTCTCCCTCTATAAATCCTGGGACCTCTAGAGTGGGTGGAAAGGCATACTCCTGAAAAAAGAGAATTGTTGATTTTTACTGGCAGCTTCTAAGGTATGATTTTCAACCCTGCTGCTGTTTGAGATCACCTTGTAATGCTTACCAAAAAAAAAAAAAAAAATCCTGTTGCCAGGAGCTCCACTTTTGACTCTTTAAATCAGAATTTAGGGTATCAGTACTTTTGAAAAGCTCCCCAGGTGATTCTAAGGCTCACACAATCACTGCTAAGGAAAAGGAAAAGGAACTAACATCTGCTGAGCCTGGTGCTGGGTGCCAGGCATTGTACCAGGGTGTGTGTGTGTGTGTGTGTGTGTGTGTGTGTGTGTGTGTGTAAAAGCTCTCTCATTTAGTTCTCACAGCTACCCTAGGAGACAGGTGCTCTTATAATTACCATTTACATATGAGAAAATCATGGCGCAGGTAAGGTAGGCTGCCCAAAGTCATAATTAGAAAATTGTGCAATCTCTAGTCTCTTGATTTCAACTTGTGTCTGGGGCAGATGTTTTCAGATCCAACCACAGAATGTGGAGTGGCTTCCCGTGTAGCAGACTCACAAGTTCCATCCCCAGAAAGCCTGAATCAATAGGTTTGGAGCAGGCCCCAGAAATCTGCTTTTAACTATCTCCCCTGAATGGCTCTGAGATCAGTGGTCCACATTGGGGGAAACACCACTTTTGGGATTGGAAATATTTTACAGAGTTGGGAGATGGATAAATTAATCCAGGACAGGAGAGGGGCCAAGGTGATTCTCTTATTTGTATTCCATTGGTTGTTTTCTGCATGTATATAATCTTTCTGTGCTACTTGGGCTGCCCCAGGTACCCTCCAAGAGCCTGATGTGCTGCTTATGCAGTTAATCACTTGGAGTATGGCAGTTGGCTCATTAACTTTTGCCTGATGGTGCTAAGGAATCCTCCTGTGGGGGCCAGCACACCAAGTCTGGCAGCAGAGAGGCTGCTATGAAATGAGGCAGCTTCCAGGTAAAATTAACCTGCCAGCCACAGCCTTTTAATTTTTGTCTGGAGCTGCCAGGAACACTGAGATGAGGTATGTTATCATCTTGCCGGAACGCACCTTCTCTTCAAGGACATGGAGCATGTGGCTGTGCCCTAGTTGCAAACTTTGCCCCTGGGTGACCAGCAAACTTGTATTCTCCTGCTAAGTCTTCCAGCAGGTCAGGGTGCAGGCTCAGAGTCCCTGGCATATGGCTTGCTTCCTCCTGGATTGATTAGGGCTGAGACAAGGAGAAAGACAGCTATTCAGGAAGGGGGCAGGGAGTGAATGTGATCTTGTAAGAATGGTGCAAATGATCATTTAGCAGTAGTGGCTGAACTATTTACAAGCAAAAATTATTTACTGGAAGAAGTGACTGCAAATGGTAGTCAACTGTGGAGATTCATTTTGTTTAGTCTATAAGGTATTTCTACTTATTTTTATTTTAAAGTTTTCCATATTTTTTTATTATGAAAAAATTTAAATGAACATCTTGAAAGAATAATAAAATGAACTCCAGGATATCCTTCCTTTAGATTAGGGTTCTCAACCTCAGCACTATTGACGTTGAGGGATTTGTTGTAGGGGAGTGTCCTAAGCATCCTTGACCTGTACCCCACTGGATGCCAGTAGCACATTCCCCATACCCTAGTTACAATAAAAAAAAAAAAAACTATCTCCAGATATCACCATGTGTCATGTAGGAGCAAAAGTGCCCCCAGTGGAGAGCCACTGATCTCAACTGAACAACTATTAGTATTTTTTTATGTTTGCTTTATTGCTATCCATATATCCACCTGCCTCTCCTTCCTTTCTCTGTCTCTCTCTCTCTCCTCATTTCCTCCCACCTTTCCCTCCCTCTCTCTTTCCTTGTATTTCTTTATTTTTTTTTTGTCTGAAACATTTGAAAATAAGTTGCAGACATGACACCTAGTCCCTCAGTACTTTTGGATCTCTTAATGAGAATATTCTCTCATATGTCACAATCCCATTATCATACCCAAGGAAGAGAACCAGAATTCAGCACTATCATCAAATACCCAATCACTCAATCCAGTGATACCAAAAATGTCTTAAGGTGCTTGGTTTTTCAAGTCAGGGTGCATTGTATTTGCCTGTGAAATCTCTTTATTCTTCAATATGCATGGTGTTTGAAAGCCAACTTCCAGTCAGTGGCCAGTGTTTCAAAACTGGGAGATTTCACACAGAAACCCAAATTCCCAATTTGAGAATTCAGTAGGTCAGGCATTTTTACACAGCAACTTTTGGTTGCAGCTGGGTGATGACTGCCCCCTTTAAGAGTCTCTTGTGTTCATCTGAGTCCCCCCGCCCCCCCCCACCAGTTATGTCACCTGCAGACCTGGGACAGTCATTCAGACTGGTCTGAGCAGCCTGGGCTCCAGCCCAACTGCCTGAGGTTCAATCCCAGTTCATCACTCAATAGTCAGGTGACCTTGGGAAGGTTGCTTCACTTCTGAGACTCAAGTTCCCCCTCTGTGGGTTGAGAACTCACTGAGGACTAGGTTTGGAAAGTGACCCCCACAGACTACCACACATGGCCCCTGCTCAGAAATCATTCACTACCCTTTCTCGCCATTTTATTATTGGGATTTTGTCCCTCTTGTCTACAGAACAGAGTGACATCGGAATCTGGATCTTGGTGTCCAGCCCTTGCTCTGTGACATTGGCCAAGTCTAACCTTTCTGGACTTGCATGCTTTGGAATTTGTTTTTTATCCGTTCATTATAGATATGCATAATATTGGGGTTTGTTTTGACACAATTATGCTGGAACTGGAAAACATCATGCGACATGAAATAAACCACACTCAGAAACTCAAGGATTGAATGTTTTCTCTCCTATGTGGAAGCTAGGGAAAAAATAAATAAAAATTTTAAAAAGGAGACAGAAGGAAAGAAAAAGAAAAAGGAGGGTGGATCCCATGAAAATGGATCAGTGGAGTAGATAAAGGGGACTGAAGGGAAGAGAGAGGGATGAGGACAATGGAGTGAATCTGAGCAAACTTTGCTTTGTACCCACAGCGAATCTCACCTTTCTGGACTTGCATTTTGATCTGAGCAGGAGGGGCCGGCAGGTTCAGAACAGGAAGGAAGGTTTATGTGTGACTAGATTAAATACATTGCAAAGTGTTGTCTACGTGATGTCGAAGAACCCTCGCCAGATCTGCAATTTTGCCATAAGCTTATGTGTAAATTCCCATTTAATTTCACACCCCTCCCCCATGAGGTAGGCTTGGTGACAGTGTGCCATTTACAGAAGCAGAGATTGCTTTCCAAGAGGATGAGCAAGCTCCTGGTGAGTGGAGAAGTCGGACTTCAAATCCAGGCAGCCGGAGGCAGGGCACAGGTCTGTGACGACTAGTCTGTGCTACCTTTAAATGCAAACCTGCAGGCCCTCCAGGCTTTGCAGATCAGAGTGCTTGCATGGCATGCAGACAGCAGTGTATGCAGGCAGGGTTGGTGCCAGGAGCCCCTGTAAGATCAGGTCTAGGAATGTTTTCTGCATCTGCCCCTGGCAGGGCCAGACCTCTTGGTGGAGGCCTTAGTGAGAATTGACCTTGAGGGCAGAAACCTGTGTTTGAAGCTCTCCACACTTGAAGCCAGTAGGGAACACATGTCATCATTTTGCCCACCTTCAAACAGAATCCAAAATCCAAATGGCAAATTTCAAAGCACCGTGTCTTGTGTGTTTTTCAAACATACTTCAGAAGAGCCAGAATCCCTTGCAAAGAAATGGCATCCAGTGACAAATTGCCTCTCTTTCCCTTGCCTTTTCTCTTCTCTCCCACCTCTCCCACCTCCCCATTTTTCAAATATCCCATGGCTTTGGCTTTGATCAGCTCCCCAAGCTACAGAAGCCCATGTGTGCAGGCATACACTGTTGGACATGGAAAAATCCTCAATTATTTTTCCTACACGATATGTATGCTTCTCCTTGGGGACTGAGTCCCTGCATTTTAAATATCAACTTTATTGAGGTATAATTTACACAGTAAAATGCACACATCTTGAATATACAGTTTGAAGGAGCTTTGACCAATATCTCACCTGGATAGCCACTAAGCTGGGAAGCAAGCTCTTGTTTTCTTACAAAATAAGTGATGCTTCTTGCCCAAAAGGCAGTGCTGAAGTATCCTATCCATGTGTGTAACTCAGAATACAGTTGGAGCATTGGGACCCCTGGAAGGTTTTAAGGCAATATGCTGGGACTTGGAGCTCTGTTTGGAAATATCAGGGTCTTATATTTGCACACTGTAGTTGGAAGTAAAAGTGACCCAACATTTTTCTTTTGGTGCCTCAGACAGGCCAAGCTCATTCCCACTCTGGAGGCCTTGCATTGATTTCAGTTCTCTTCTATCAGACTTAAATGACTGCCTGTCCTTCTCCAGGAAGCTGCTCCTGACCACCCAGGCTTAGTTATCTTTCCCTCCCCCTCCCCAACAATCTGGTCCTTCATTCAGTCCTGCTCACTTTTTTTTTTTTTTTTGCATTAGGGTCTAAAATTAAATTAGTAATTTATTGGTTGACCAGTTTATTATATTTCCTTCCATTGTCCCCCTCAAGATTAGGAATGCAGGGACCATCATTGTCTCCTCCACTCCTCAATTGTAATCAGAGGGCCTGACAATTGAGAGTGTTCTGGATTCCAAAATCCTGGTTTGCATGGCATAAAACAGTACCTCCTTATTCATTCATTCACACATGCGATCCGTGTTTGCTGAACACCTACCTTATGCCCAGCACTGTGCCGGAAGCTATGAGAAGAGTGGGTGCTGCAGGTGCCATCCCCATCCTTGTAGAGCCAATGATTCAATATTGAGAGACAGATCCCATACAAGTAATGTAAAAGAAATGTACAAGTAAGTCAATACTGAGTTGGACCTTATAAAATTGCCAATATTCAATCATTTTCAACTTTAAAAATGGTAACATGTCAGCATAATTGTTCTCAACTGGGTCAAGGGATATCAAAGGATCAAAGTGTGGCTTCTCCAATCCCGTCTAAGGCAGGATTCTCCAGTGAAACAGAACCAATACATCAAGAGATTTATTACAAGGAGTCAGCAAGTCCAAAATCTGCAGTGTAATGTCTCAGTTCAAGTGTGAAGGCCGCAGGCAGGCTGCTGTAGAACCAGAAAGAGCAGTGTCCCCCTGTAGGGCAGGAGAGCCTCTCCTGTTTAGGGAAGAGCCAGCCTTGTGCTCCATACAGCCCCTCAAGGTAGGGTGGGCAGTCTTCTTCACCAGTTAACCAATTGAGTGTTAATCTCCTCCAAGAACACTCTCCCAGAAACACCCAGCATACTATTTGATTAAACATCTGGGCACAGCATGGTCAGTGGAATTGACACATCACATGAACCATTATGGAAGTCTTAGGCTCTTATGCCAGCAACTTCTTCACACCCGGGAGCTAGAGTAGAATGTCAGGCCCACCTCAGATTCTTGAGTCAGAATCTGCATTTTAATAAGATCCCCAGATAATCCAAATGTTCATTAAAGTCTAAGAAGCACCTAAACTCTGGGCCACAAGCAAACGCCAAATCCTTAGGCATTGGTTTGATTTCTGATCCACTGTTGGTTCTTTCCGCTGCCTAATTTGTGAAAACATTTTAACACATTTCTATTCACAAAAATGTTTTTAGTATGCACTCCGACCATACACACATGTGCTTTACTAATAAATATACTCATACACCTGTGGACAATTATGAAGTATGTAATAAAGCATACCTAAGAAGAAATTTTTAAACTGAGTTAAACGTGAAATAAACATGACTTCAAAATCTGTTGCTAGTGGCAATGACTTCCCACTATCCTTAGCTAAACTCTCAAAGCGAAATGCATGTGGAGGGCGACATTCCTCAGTAGTAAACAAATCCACCCTTTGAATATTCTCCATTTTGGTTCTTTTTGGCTGACTTTGTTAGGGTCTGCACAGATCACGGCTGTTTTAACCTTGTGGGAAATTGCTGAAGAGGAGGGTCAACTGAATGTGTGTCTTCAGCCTGTGTTTTTGTTAAGGGGGCTATTTTTAAAGGTATGTGTCTGCTTTGAATGGTTGGCAGAGTCAAAAGTAGAGAATTTAATCTGTGTGTCCCTTTGGGGTTCCTAGACCTGTGAGGGTGTCGCTGGCCCTCACCCTCCATTTCCGCCATCTGATGTGAGAGTTCGCAATGCAGGCATCGCATTGGTATGTGCAGCTGGATTGATCTCTCATCTGCAATGACTCAAGGCCATGCATAACTGTTCTGACCTTTCCTTTGCCCACACCACTTCATTTTATGCAGAGCGGGAATGAGTGAACCCTGCTCTAGAGACTCCTTGACCAGGCAGTGGAGGTCTCTAGGGATTCTTGTCTCCACTGCCTGTTCTGGGAATGGCGGCCCTGGGGAGAAGTGTCCTTGGGCTTTGGAGCTGAAACTTGACAGTTTTCAGCACTTAAAAGAGGTTCAGGGGATCTGCAGATGGCAGTTCCGACCAAGTTCCTGGTAGCCATCCTGATTTCTCGCTTCCCTATCCTTTTGAAAGTTGACTGCTTTGGATGTTTGGGGAGACCCGTTGGGGAATCTGATGAAAGGTATGGCTCTTGCTCAAGAACAATGCACAAACAAATTTTCCATTCGATTACAGAGGACTTCAGCGATCCCTTGAAGCTCAGGATGAAGAACCCGTTTAGAAGTAAGAAAGGCAAGTTAGGATGGGGAGGCCTCTGTCCTGTGTCTCAAAACCTCCCTCCCCTGCAACCCCTTTGAGTTTCAGACCTTGCTTATTGCACAGAGGTAGGAAGGAGCCTGGACTTTGATTTCAAAGACATTCAGGATTGCATTTCCACTCATCCCCTCCATTGATTGTCAACTGGGTTAAGTTGGGCAGTTTTCCCTCTGTAAAATGGATTCTGATGATCCACACCTTGTAATACTCCCCTCTTATATTGCCCTATTTCAGTTTTATTGGCCTTCTTGAGTATGCTTCAAAATCTACCTCTTTCCTGCCTCAGGGGCCTTGCACTTTCTGTTTGCTCTGTCTGAAATGCTCTTTCCACCATCTCCACTTTGTCAGTCAGCTTTCTGTTCCTGTAACAAACACCCAAGATAATCAACTTATAATGAGAGAAGGTTTATTTTAGTTTCTCTTCATGATTGATGGATCGTTTTTTGCATTTGAGACTGTGGTGAGGCAGCACATCTGGGCAGAAGCATGTAGTAGAGCAAAGCTGCTTACTTCATGGCCAGAGAAGCAAAAAGAGAGAAAGAGAAAGGTACCAAGACTCATGTCCCCTTTGAAGGCCACATCCCCAGTGACCTGAAGACCTCCTACTGGGCCTCACCTCTTAAAGTTTCTACCTCCTCCCAAGAGCTTCAAGCTGGGGACCAAGCCTTGAACACAGGGACACTCCAGATCCAAACTGGAGCACCACATGACCAGTTCCTTCTCTCTCCAAGGCCATGTCTTCACCAAGTTTTTTCCTGATCACACCACCTCTCTCTCTTTCTCTTTAGAAATTTTTAAAAGGCATGAAGTTCAGTGATCGGTATCATATTCATGACATTGTACAACCACCATCACTATTGGCTTCCGATCCACTAATTCTAATAATGTTTCATCCCTCCCCTCCCCCCTCAAAAAAATATCCCCATTGTCACTCCACAGCCACTCCCCATTCCCTCTCGACACCATTAGCCACTGGCAACTAACTACAACTTCACCTTCTCTCTTTGTGGAATTGCCTCTTCTGGACGTGGCTATCAGTGGAATCATATGACCTGTGGAATTCTGTGTCCGGCTTCTTTCACTGGGCGTAATGTGTTCCAGTGTCATTCGTGTCATGGCTGGTGTCAGGGCTTCCTTCATTTTGATGGCTAAATACTATTTCATTTCATATTGCGGTCACCAGCTGATGGACATTTGGATCGTCTCCACGTTTTGGCTATTGTGAGCAATGCTGCTGTGTGCCAGTCTCTCACCACCCTGTGCTCTTCATTTCTTTTCCACCCTTGTTTATTTATTTAACCTATTTATTTTTATTCTCTTCCATAGAATGTAAGCTCCAGCAAGGCAGAGACTGCGGTCACCTGTGTGCTGCTGTATCCCCAGGGCTTGTATTGTGCATGGCTCAGAGCAGACAATAAACATTTGTTGAATGAACAAATGAATGAGAGCTGTGGTTATTCTCCCATCTCTCGGTGGACTCAGCCCTTTCCTCTAGCTGCCATAGGACTCTTGTGGTGCTGACCTAGGTCTCTCTCATGCTTGAGACTTCTCCCTAGCTAGTGTGGTTTTCACCCCCGTGATAGCCCTGCACCACAATCAAACGCTCCCTCAAGCCTGAGGCCTCTCTGTGGTCTCAAGCTGGAGAACTGGAGTGTGCACCAGCAACCTGGGGGTTCCGTGCAGACACCCTGCATCAGCCCGACCCTAGATTCTGACCCTGTAAGGTTGGATGGATCCCCAAAGTTCTATCAAGTTCCAAGGTGATACTGATGCTCCTGGTTGTCGAACCACTATTTGAGAATCACCGCTGTAGTGGGGTCGGTTTCGGGAGATAAGTGGGTCTTCCAAGTACATTGGTGGTCTGTGGGGGCCTCTCCTGAACAGTTCATCTTCCCCCTCCATCTCCCCTTCTGTGGACTGAGAGAGTGCTGGTTAGTTAGAAACATCTGGGTATACCCTAAACTTTGGCACTTGTGGGTCTGTGCCCTGGAAAAACCGTTGCCGCTTCAAGAGGAGACTTGTGTGAAGGTGTCTGTCACGGAGTTGTTCACTGGGACTGGAGTGTTGGTGACCACCTAGATGGCCGTAGTCGGAAATGATAGACAGAACCGGCAGCCTACTGGTTTGTAACGGAACAACTGGATATTTGTAGCTGGCATCCATTCTGATTGGTGGGTTCCTCCGCCACAGTAGTTACAGCATATGGAGACAATTGTCCCTGCAGGTAAGTGAGCCTGGGGGTCGCAGATGATGGAGCACCGTGCAGAGCCTGCAAGGGATGAAAGAAACTCACACGAGCGATGCGGCTAGCTCTCATCTTGCGCGGACAGAGGGAGAACCAGAATGAGGTTTGTGGTGAAACCCCGTTTTATGGGAAAGATAAGCACACAAATGATAATACCTACTTTATTACATGTCTATTGAGGATATTTGCATGTCACAATAAACACGTAATGGAGGGTAGATAAAGAGGAAAAATGTATTGGTCCGTCTGACTTCAAGGTGTGATACCTGTTTGATGGTCGTCTCTGCTCTGTCCTATGTGCAATCCCAGAGCTTCTCTCCTGAGCGTACATCTGATCGTGAAGGTCCTTGATGTGGGTTGAATTGTGTTCTCATCCTCTCTAAAGAGAAAGAAAAGAAAGAAAGAAAGAAAGAAAGAAAGAAAGAAAGAAAGAAAGAAAGAAAGAAAGAAAGAAAGGGAGAAAAGAGTTGTTCTCATTCCTACACCACAGCTTACTGGCTGTGTGACCTTGAGCAGGTTGTTTCACCTCTCTGAGCCTTTGCGGTTCCTTTACAAAGGAATAATGATCCTCACGAGGACTGTTTTGGGCTGTTTTGTTTAGCATAGTGACTGCCTTGTAGCAAGTGCTCCATAGATGTTAGCTGTGGTCACTAATATTGGGCCACTGCTACACTGAAGTGCTGGCATCTGTGTTAGGTATAGACAGACCTAAGTCATGGGGTGGAGACACACAATATGTGTCCATCAGTCAGTCCTCTCCACAGCTCCGTGGGTAGACGACACTGTTATTCCATGGCTGTTGGAGTGAGTTTGGGGGCGTCTCTACATGACCTCTGACTGCAGAGATTTAGCTGTGGCTGTTTTCCTCTGCCCCACCCCTAAGTGGAGCCATGTCTGTTTTGTTCACAAGGACAGCGCTGGGCAGGCGGTGGTCATTGTAATTTGAATGAACAGATTTCCATTCTCTCTTCTTCCAGGGCCCTTGCGGATGTCATGAGGCCACAGGGCCACTGCAACCCTGACCACATGGAGAGAGACCTTAACATTGTGGTGCACGTCCAACACTACGAGAACACAGACACCAGGGCCCCCATCAATAATCTCCGTAAGTACAGCTGCACGGGCGGTTTCCAGCCCCACCTACGACCCCGGCTGCGGTCAGGTTGCCAGAGTCTGTGGTGTGCATTTGGGTTTGTCAGGAGCTTCCCCTTGTAGGCAAATCAGAAGCTTTCTTTTTCTCTCTTCTGGATGAGCCTGAGTTGGGTATCACTAGGTTGCTTTCTCTGTCAAATGTGGTCCACTTGGTTGGTTTCATGCGGTCGATCTTGCGTCGACTAGTGGACAACTTGGTTGGTTCATCTTGGTGGGTCTCTTAACAGATGTCCTCTGGGTTAGTTCATCATGGCTGGGCCTTGGTTAACTGGAGAGTTATTGGTGGGCTCATCGTGGGTCATTAACCTGTTTTCCAATAGTTATTTTGCTGCTCTGTCTTGCCTGGGTCATCTGCTGGCTGGGAGTTCATTCAACACTTGTCTACCTCCTGAGGTAAACCAGTTGTTCCTTTTAGATTTCATGCTGTTTTTCATTAACAAATACTAGTTCAGAAGAATTGTATCTTTTCTAAAAATGAAGCTAGAGCTTTATAAAAATAATCCACAAAACACTCCTTGGGGGGTGGGTCTGGGCAGGTGTTGGGTTGTGGTCATGTTGGTGTGGGACACACATGTGATTCAGCAGTAGCAAATTTCCACTGTTCTGCCAGGAAAGAAAAAAAAAGTTGCATTCGCTATTGCGTTTCCAGAGGTATTCTTCAGCAAATAAATCATACATGGGGATCTTGGAATGCTCCCAAAGATTTTCTATCCTTTCAAAGGTCTGTATGTCCAGCATACACTGTGGAACCGAAACACAGAAAATGGGAATGGAGAAAACTAAGATGGGTTAGTTCTTGACAATAGCACACCGCCGTGATTATTCCCAGCAATTGTGTTTTCAAGTAACCCCCACGTGAATGAAATGTGGAGGGCTTGGTCAGGAATAACAAAAGCCAGACAGTTCCAAGGATGTCCTCAGCTGTGGCTTGAGGCTCCTGGGGCAGAACGGTTTTGGAGCTACATGCTTTTGCAGCCTGTGTCCTTGGCTGGAAGGCCGCTAGGAGGTACATGGGTGTTTTAGGTGCTGAATCATGGTGCTGGGCTGTTTGGTCGTACATTTTTATGCTCAATGGGTAGAGGAAGAAGTCTGTGGGATTTGACGTTGGTGATGCATGTTCTGCATGGTGACTTTTTTTTTTGTGTGGTTTTGGAAATGGTTACAGTGTTTTAGCAAAGTCAGAATTTACATGGGTTGAATAATGGACCACCAAATGGAATTTTTAGGTTTCATTATATTAAAGAACTTGACATTATTTATTTATGAACTGGATTATGAAATACTATTAGGAGTAGCCAACTTTTTAGAGAAAAATACATCAGCCATTGGAAATATTATGACCAAATCCCACAGCCCCAAAAGATAGGCTAAATGGCCCCCACTCTGACATGGCAACTGCTGCGTCTGATTCTGATTGTGATGGACATGGACACATTGTCTTCCAGATGACAGTGAGAAGTTCCTTGAACCTAGGTGTGTGTGGGTCCCAAATATCATAAACAAGTGCACGTGATCACGGAGCAGAGAAACTGACATGGAGCTGGGTCCCTTCCTATGGAAAGTGACTGTAGACAGGTTTTTCATTTGAAGTTTCTGTCTCTGAGATGGTTTGGAATTTTGTTTAGAAATGGAATGACAAACTCATTGAAGTCACCTAAGCCTCATCATTCTATCAGGCAAAAGGGAAGAAAATATCAAGAATGTTACTTAAATAAGGGGCTTTTGTTTTAAGTTGTCCTGAAAATATATGACTGCTCAGAGATAGATGTCTAGGTACTGAGTAATTCAGACATCACTTACGACCAGCTACTTTGGTTTATTTATGATTCTTGCTTTTGATCTGTATTTGTGCCTCAAGAATGTGGTGATCTTATCCAGAGGAGAAAGTCCCTTGTAGTAGTCCACTGGGTAGAACTGTACTAGAGCATTCCTGATAAACTCCAGGGAAGAATTCCAGGAGTAATGTCACACATGTTGTGTTTTTATAAGAAATGCCACAGAGGTTAATTTCATTGAATTTTGACAGATTGAACCAGTCCTTTTTTTTCTAACATTTTTGGGAATATCTGTATAAGAAAAATAAGAAGCATGTAGCCTTTCCCAGATTTACATTAGTAAATTTAATTTATGTAACCCATCAATTGTGTAGTTAACAGTACTAACAGATTGCTTTGTAATGGCTTATCTTTTTATTGATTTAGAGGAGCTATTTATGTATCATAGACACAGAAAAAAAATGGTATGTTTAGAAGAAGGAATGATGGGTGGGGGAGAAGCTCCTTGAGAAGATAGGACTAGATCATTTATATTAATTAGTTGTTAGGGGTTTAAAAAGTCAGCCAATCACCAGAGACCATTTTGACGGATAGACAAGAAGCAGGGAAGGAATCCAATCTGATAGTTTGAAAATCAGACCAGTCACTCATACCTGAGTTAGGATGAACTACTAAATAGAAAACCCCTTTCTGGTCATTACAGGGACTTCAAGATTTACCAAAACATGGAAAGAAAGAAGCGTCTGCTCACCGTATACTGAGCAGAGTACATGATACCATTTTTAGGTTGTTCTTGACTAAACATCCAAGCTGTTGAATCTGACTGAGCTTAAATGTCATTTTCATCTCTATTGAATGGCCCGCTCAGCACTGCTTTAAGAGAATAATCATCTCATTCTCTTTCCCTCTCCTCGTCTTCTTAATATGAATGCTTAGTCCATTTCCGATTTCTCCTTTAGTTTTGCACCAAATGCTAAGAGATCTAACATTCGGTGTACTCCTGGGTGTGGGGAGGGGTGGCAGGTGGAGAAGGATGTGGTGAAGCAGGCCAGGAGGACAGAGCTTCGACAGGGGGACATTTTTGCCAACTTTTCTTAATAAATTTCCTGGGGTTGATTTTTCTTGTGATGTGCAGGATTTGGTTTCTTATCTCAAGATGGATGTTTCTCCAGCTGATGCTGTTCATGTTCTTTCCAGGCATTCAGTGATATTGCCTAAAAATATTTAGTCTGATAATCAAAGGGGCCTTGACCTCTTTGATTAACAGGATGTAGGTTCCGTCGAGCACGATTTGATTTTCTGCAAAGACTCCTCAGCGTCTGTGTAATTATAGTTTGCTTTTGAAGGCACGCTTTGTCCTCAAGTTCTAGAAACATGCTCTGCTTCCCCCACCCCACCTCCCTGCCTGCCAGTGACACCTCCTCACCCCTCTGGGACTGGAGGGTGAATGTCATGCCACTCAGCCTTCTCAATGGCAGGTGTGAGGCAGGGGCCATGGGTGAAACCTGAATTGACACTTCCCAGCTCTGTCGTTTTGTTTTGGAATACTCTGATTATTTGCAGAAAGGCTGCTCAGATTCCGCCTCCTGTGCTGCACACCCCTGGGCTCACTTTCCCCTGACATCAGCATCGTATGTCACGGCACACTTATCAAAACTAAGGAGCAACACTCGGGCATTCCTTTTAGCTAAAATGTGGATGTCATTTGGATTTTTACCAGTTTCTGTTTAGAAGTCCTTTTTCTGTTCCAGGACCCAATGTGCAATTCCACGTTGTCTTTAGCACAGTTCCCTTTCATCACAGAACGTTGGTTGCACAATATTGTATAATACTGTGATAAAGATGGAAAGCAACAGGTTGCAGGGCTATTGCCGCAGCACCGAGGCATCTCCAGTGTCCACAGGAACCTTCACATAAAGGTATTCACCCGGTCAGTCGGCATGGAGCCAGTTGCTGCCTGGATGGTGGTGCTCTGGCTTGTTCATGGAACAAGATACTCTTGTGTCCCCCCACACAGGCAAACCTGCTTGGGCATTTGGTCGCAGCTGCACTACTTGTTTTACAGCATAATCTGAGCAAGTGCGATCTCACCTCAAACTGAGGAAAACAGTGATTTGATGTTTTAGGACAGGGAACCCATTAGAAAGATCAGCTCCTGTATTCCAGACCCACCACCTTGTACTTCCCAGGATGAGTCCCAAGTAGGTTGACAAGGAACCAAAAGCAGACTCTTGGCTTCGTTTCTAAGAGGTGGTGTAGCTCAGATCTAGGTCCCTTCCTTTGTCCACACTCACAGGGTGACTGGCACGTTCCACACTCGACTTTTGGACATCCCAGCAGGGATAGTCCCAAATATTTTTGAAAATTTGGGCAGGTAAAAAGGTAAATATAGACATTGGGGTGTATAAGAGTCAGAAAACATGTAAGAAAGTAACATTAAGAGTAGTTTCTCTAGATAGCAAATCCTGATGCATCGAATCCTCAACACCTATCATTTCCACCATCATAAAGACAAAAAAACTGAGGCCCAGAGAAGATTAGTGGCCTGTGTGATGTTTATAGCTGCAAATTGGAGGGGCTCAGGCCCAAGGTCTCTGATGCTAACCACTGCACTATGCTCTCTCTCCGACATGTGGGTGTTTGCAAAGTGTCCCAGTCTTTCCTAGGGAGTGGGCATTGTTAAAGGAGATGCTAAGTGAACTGAAGGAGCCCCCAACTCTCTAGTAGGAGAGCTGTTTCCACAATGTGCGTCTAACTTACCATCTTGTGATGAGCCCCTCTGTTAGGAGGATGGACATTTATTGAGCACCTGCTGTGTGCCAGGCATGCACTAAGGATTTGCTCCTTTATTACTCAAAGCTGAGCTCATCTCCACCTCTGGATCTTTGCACATGCTATGCTCTGTGCTCACAGCACACTGCCACAGGCCTGTGTGTCTGGCCTCTTCCCTTGCACATCTCATCCCAATGGCTAGTTCCTGAAAGGTCTTCCTTGCTCATCTCTGAGCCCCAAGTCACTCGCCGTTCCCTGTTTCCCCATGATTTTCTTCATAACACTTTGTTCTCTCTGAAATTGCCTTACTCGCTATTTTATCCCTGCCTCTTGCCCCACAAGGCAAACTCCACAGGGGAAAAGGCTTGCCTTGTCACCACTGTGACCTCCCACACCAGGAACCGAG